GACTTCTTAATGCTCAAAGGGTCCTCGCAGTGATAATTGAGCGGTGTTGCCAGATCAAGTGTTATAACCTCTGTGTACATTCATGTACGGCTATTAAACCACTCCCACACGACGTGGCGAATGCCTTACAACGTTGGACACATGGCCATTCGCCACATCGTGTGGGAGAGTGCTGACGGAATGCATGTGTCCAACGTTCGCCACATGGCACGTTCTGGCTCTTGTCGGGAAATTTGACCCGCGTCAAAGGACCTTACAATGTTGGAAGCATGGTTCGTTAGGTACGCTCCCACACGAGATGTCATGTGTTTGATGGCTTTAGATTAGCACCAGTAGCGGCGACAAACATTTTATATTTGTTTGTTGTGATTGTGGTGATGTAGTGGTATGTGGGAATTATTTTGATTTGAATACCTACCTATTAATAATAATGTATGTTCATACAAGGTATAGGCTGCCACAACAACACTTTTTTCATATTGCTAATATTTTCTACCTTTCGCAGGTGAGTTATGGCTGGTCTAAGGATATGTATTTTAGTAAAATATAAATTATCAAGTGCTTACAGTTGTTTCACTTTGATGAAATTTTGACCCTAGTTTACTACTATGAAAATGACGAAAAAGCTCTGCAGTTTTTGAATAAGCGCGACTCTGACACCTATAATAGACGTTTTGGTGTCGAACGTTGTATACAACGTTGGAAGCATCGTGTGGGACCTGCATTATGAAAATCAAGGAGGCCATAAAGGCGTCCTATAATTGTAGGAAAGACTGACGATACGGTCCTAAGACAGCAAAACAAGAAACACTCATTTGAATTTCTAAACTTTCCGCATGCACAGTACATAAACTTCTCACCACAGGTTCATCAAAAAAGGTGGATTCTTTAATTCACCGGTTGATTCCACCACTGATGCTTATGGTTGACACTGTTGACAGCTTTGTATGGTGATGGCAGCAACCGGTTGAATTAAAAGGACAGATGTCTGGTCCACCGGTGGCACCGGTTGCTCAACCGGTGAATTAAAAAATACACCAAAACTACTGATTAAAAGAAAAACGCCGAGACACGTCAAAAGTTTGTCAAGGGGGATAACCTTTTAACCAAAAACTACTTCACCCCCTTTCACCCTATGCCCCCAGGGTCAACCCCTTAAAAATTTTAAATGACATGGGTGTTACGATTTCTATAAAGTATAAAACTGAATTTAAATCAAAATAAAATTCTTAATCATGAGAAAAACACAACAAATTTTCATTGCATAATTACATTCTCTTAGCCAGTCTCAAAAAACAAAAACATATAAACTATGAAACTACATCAGATCGCAGTCTTAAAATAAAACAATCATTACATTAGCTTAGAAAGTGATTTGAACAGAATTTGAACAGACTTTTATATAAATCTGCTGGCTAATAAATAAAACCACATATCTTGATTGGATACTTTGAAAAAGATCACCGTGGTGGTTTAAACGTAAGTAAACCCTTAACTACATCTGCTTTTTTATTTATTGACCAACAGAAGGGAGATGGATTTGAGAGACAACCTTAGGCAAAGTTCAGATGTTATCATATTATAGCGTTTGGATTAAAACACTTGATTCCACAAAAAGAAATGCACTAATTTATTTAACTTGATAAAACATTTATATACACCACTATTTATGTCTGACTAATTCTTATATCATTTACTGTAGTATACTTCACTCCGCTCTGCTACTCTACCGTATTCAGTACTCTGCCTCCATCTCCTAGTCCCCGAGTTATATATAGTCCCCATTACAGCTTCGAGAAAAAACCGGACGTACCACAAAGCGACATCTAGAATGTTGGAGATCACTTCGCGTCGATCTAGAAGGCGATCCACTGTCACGGTCCTCACAGAGGACTCCAGGCGGCTTGTGCGCCGTGGTTCGCGTAAAAGCAGAGATCGGTAATTAAGCTCTGGCGAGTAGGAGACTCGCCCATCAGATGCCGCCATTACCGCTTAACTATCTTCTCCTGGCAATCGCTGGAGTCTGAATGTATCTCATGGCAGGATGTGTGAAGGGATTGTTACTTTAATGATAGTCGTATTGCTCGGTTACCTCTGATTCAGGGGTAACGTCGGAGCTTTGGGGTATTGACACAACGGCCCTTGGCCAGCGTGATATCCCGGTTCCTGGACTGTCTTTTTGTAACAATCGTTATACTCAGCACGTCTGACCATACACCTAGCGACCAAAGAGTTAGAATGAGTCTGTGTGACGACTCCTATTAAGTCTGTGTGATGACTTAATGACCAGTCTGTGTGATGACGGTCAGGGTCAGTCTGTGTGATGACGATCCCGTGATTCAGTCGATGACGAATCCGTAATAGTAGTTGGGGTACATTAATGTAATGGTAAATAGTAGATTTGTGCATGTGATGTCATGAGTCGGTTGAATACGGGAGATACTCATAAGTCTTATTCTAAAAATAGGTGTTGGCCCCGACAATCCGATCATATCGCCCTTATCGCTTGCCAAAGGAGGATAACTCGTTGTCGTTTCGTCACCAAGTAAATGACTTTAATACTACCCTGACATTGTTGCCCATACAGAATTGTTTACGTACTGCCCATGTAGTAAAAATGTAATGGTACGGGGCGGTACTTCGAGATCTTCTAAGATGAGATGTTTTCACGTTTATCGTTATATTGCTATTATCATATTATCAATTTCGTATCCTACACTCCTATATATGGTAACGCCATAACAGTTTATACTATAACAAATCCGTAAAAAACACAAAAGACTCTGTATTGGGAACTGTGTTTACAAAATCGTACGATTGAAATCATTTGTAGGTTAGAAATCTCGCACGGCGAATGGAGAAACACCTACCATTTGGCAGGCGTTTTCAAACCTGCCAGCGTGCGCTGAGCACTTTTGGATTACGCATAGCGTTAACAAACGTAAATACCATTTTTGTTGATTCGTTCATATGGTGTACGAATACGAGGTCATCACACGGTGTGCGAGCGCGGAACGGCAAGCGTATTGAGTTACGAGAATACGGGTCCTGAGGCGCGAACAGCCACAGTCACACTTCTTAGTTTATTTTTAAAGCACAGAAGCACTACAACTGGAGTCTATTTCTCATATATTATAGTCACCGATCACTTTGAACACATACACACACTTTGAAGCTTAGAAAACAAGCTTATCTCTTAATTACAGCCTCTTGAATTCCCAAATCACAAATTGAAAAGGTTATGTTTTCTCAGCGTTTTGAGCACGAGTTGCGTCGATGCAGCAAGCAACGGCGGGAGTAACACTACCACCTACGTTGCCAGATTTCTTTGTTCACGGCTCGTAGTTGACGTCGGCTGTGCTCGTACTAATGGGTGATTTTTTTGCTAGTATCTTTTTGGCAACACTATTTTTGACAGATGACGCGTGAATCGTGTCTTGTTTAGACTCTATAATTTAACCATGAATCGACTTACGAACGAACAACGCTTGCAAATTATTGAATTTTACTATCAAAATTCATGCTCGGTTAAGAGAGTGCATCAAGCACTGCTTCACTGCTGGGCAATTTGGTCGGCCTACTGAGGGAGCTATTCGGAAGCTTGTGACTAAATTTCGAACCCAGTTTACATTATTGGACATTAAACCACCAACACGCAGACGTAGAGTGAGGACTGAAGAAACTATTGCGGCTGTATCCGCCAGTGTTAGTGATGACCGTGAAATGTCGATTCGCCGCCGTTCGCAGCAATTGGGCCTCTGTTACTCCACTACGTGGAAAATTTTGCGACAGGATTTAAGTGTAAAAACTTATAAAATACAGCTGGTGCAAGAATTGAAGCCACACGACCTGCCACAACGTTTCCAATTTGGTGAATGGGCGCTGGCAAAGTTGGAGGAAGATCCACATTTCTATCGAAAAATTGTGTTCAGCGACGAAGCTCATTTCTGGTTGAATGGGTACGTTAACAAGCAAAATTGCCGCATCTGGAGTGAATACCAGCCAGAAGCATTGCAAGAGCTACCAATGCATCCCGAAAAAATCACTGTTTGGAGTGGATTATGGGCCGGTGGCATCATCGGACCGTACTTCTTCAAAGACGACAATGGCCGGAACGTAATTGTGAATGGCGAGCGCTACCGTGCGATGATAACAAACTTTTTTTGCCCAAAATGGAAGAGCTGGACTTGGCTGACTTGTGGTTTCAACAAGACCGGTGCCACATGCCACACCGCACACGAAACAATGTCCCTATTGAGAGGCGAGTTCGGTGAACAGTTTATCTCACGTTTGGAACCCGTCAATTGGCCGCCTAGATCGTGTGATTTAACGCCGTTGGACTATTTGTTGTGGGGCCATGTTAAGGCTAATGTCTACAGGGATAAACCAGCAACGATTGACGCACCGGAAGCCAATATTGAAGCATTTATTCGTGAGATACCGGCCGATATGTTAGAGAGAGTGTGCTAAAATTGAACCTTGCGCATGGGCCATCTAAAGCGGAGTCGCGGCCAACATTTACATGAAAGAATCTTTAAACATTAAATTATATCGACCGTTCTATCGACTCAAATAAAGATTTAATCGTTTTTTCAAGTTTTTTGTGTTTTTTTTTTAAATCAAATCCTATACCTCTTAAAAAATCACCCGTTACTACTACTACCTCCCCCAAGTGGGAGCGCCACAATAGATGTCAAATGGCCCCCTTCAAAAAAAGTTTATGGCGTCAAATCAGGAGATGCAGTAGGCGATTTCATAGGCCCTCTTCGCCCTATTGATTTATCTGGAAACTCATCGTCTAGCTATTGCCATTTCAAAATGACCCAAAACTTCAATTTGAGCGGGTTCATCCAACGGGGCTTTCAGAATTTTAGTGATTCTAACTCACTGCGAGTATACATCGAGTATGTGGAATCGGGTGCAGTAAGAGCGAAGTTGCCTGTCAAGTTTTGCTGATCTGTGATGCAACCTATAAATGTCAAATTTTCTGAAAATTTGGCGCCCTCTATAAATGCAGATTGAAATCCCAGCAACTTGACAACAAAAGACATTTACCGCAAAAAAGTAGGGTTTTTGTGACGAAAAATCCATGAATCAAACGAGTTTATTTGAAAATCCTTGCGCGGAGTGAGAAAAATAATCATTTTAGTGTATAGGTTTCGTGTGAAAGTATGAAGAGGCGAAATGCTGAGATTGCCAAAATGAGAAGACCCGTGAAAAAGAACAAAATCACTGAGGGATTTTACGGAAGGTACGTTTTCCTCGTTTAGACTATGACTGTGCGCATTGCATGGTATATGATACGGTCACAGTCTGTGATTTTCGATCCCATATGTGTTTCAAAATGGCTGGTTTCCCTAAACAAATGATATTTTGGAAAGTTTCCCATGGGATAACATCGCCATATATGGCAATTATTGCATCCCAGTATTTTTCAACTTGAAAATTTAAATTCGTAGGTGCAAGGTATTTCCGAAATTTCGTGTAGTAGGTTATAATAGCAGCTGTCAAAACAGTTTATTTTTACACTTCTGGCAGCAATTTTTGGACTGCAGTTGTGCCACAAACTACTAACGATATGTTAACAATTTTTAGTTTCACAATACCCAATAAGATACTGTTTATCACTTGAGATTCCACATTATTTATATGTTTATGTATTACAGGCTGTTGTAAATACACACATCATCAAAAGTGTTGGAACCCCTGGCGTACTGGGAAACTATAGCCTTCTAATTTCAATCTTTGATATATTTTAAATTGGGGATATTTTTACTAAGTATATTTATTTAGCAAATTGTTAAATTAATTTCATTAATATGAAAAGAAAAAGAAAGTTGAACAAGTAAGGTACCAAAAATTTTATTTTTAAAAATGAGCATTAAAGAAAAATTATTATTTTAAACAAAAATAAAACATAATTAATAACCAGTTCGATGTCCTCTAGATCTTAGCTGTGCATTAACACACCTTGGCATTCCTATTATTTGGTGGTTAATTTTTTCTTTTGGTAAATTATTCCACTCTTCATTTACTGCTGCAGCCAGCTCATTTAGGGTTGTAGGTGGATCTATTCTGTTCCCTACAGCTCGAGCTATAGTGTCCCAAATGTTTTCAATGGGGTTCATGTCTGGACTGTGTGCAGGCCATGGCAATCTCAGTATTTGGCCCATTTCTAGAGCCCACTGGACCCTTCTCGCTCTATGTGGCCTTGCATTATCATCCATAAAAATGAAGTTGTTACCGAATTCATTTCGCAAAGGTTGAATAATGGGTTGTATGACATTTTCTTCATAAATTTCTACAGTCATTGTCCCCTGGATCTGAATTAAAGGACTTCGGTGGTTAAACATTATGCCTCCCTAAAACATTATTGATCCGCCCTGATATGGGACAACTTCTCGGGCCAAATTTAGAAGCTGTTGATGTCCTGGTTCTCTCCAAACCCTTATTCTACTGTCATCACTCACCAGTCCAAACCTAACCTCATCTTAAATACCTCATTCGCCACTGAGGTAAAAGCCACTCCTGATGTTCTCTAGCCCACTGGAGACGAGCAGCAATTTGTCTACGAATAAGACGTGGAACCCTTAAAGGTCTTCTAGAGTGCAAATTTGCCAGCTTGGAAGAGGGCTACTATTCGTGTTCTATCAGAACCAGAAATTTCAGCTCGCGGCATTTTAAAAGTTACAGTATAAAATTTTATTTTAATACTTTTTGCTCAAACAGTACCGTTAAACTAACCTATATCTATAAAAACCCAAACACATTTTTATCTCAACGGTTTTTTGCGTTTTTTGCTTGCTAAATATATAAAGATTTTTTGTTCACAAACAGAATGTAGATAAGGTACCTCCAGAGGGATTTATCCAGGGTCCAACACTTTTGATGATGTGTGTACTTTAATATTATCCAACACTCTTTAGTAAAAGGTGATTTCAATTTTTTTCTTCAACTAGCATCCTTTCATATAATCTTATGTTGCTCATTATTAATTTGTTTGTATCAAATTACTATAACTACACAGAAGTCTATCATTATTCCTATAAATATGTTATTTAAATTAAATTATTCTGCATTTATGTACCTTGCTTGAACCACTATTCAAAGATGAAGCTCTGGATGATTGTAACAGTAAAATAATATTTAACTCAATTTTTTTTTTATATCGAAACAGCCGCGCAGGCAGAAGCCTAAATGCCGGAACACCGCGGCTGCTATGATGATCCCAAAGAAATTTTGTTAATACGATTTTGGAACTGCCCAAGATTAGTAGAACTGGGAAAAGCTTCCTCTTGTAGGTTGTTCCACAATCTAGACACCCTCGGGACAAAGGAGCGGTCGTATCTGCCAGTTCTGGATGTACGAAGTTTGACACGGTTAGGATGGGACGCTGAAGTCAGGCGGGTCTGTCTGGCAGGTACATCGCGCGGCGGCATCATGGAAGAGAGCTCTGAGGAGCAAAGCCCGTTGGTGTAGCGATAGAAAAGAGCTAGATCGCCGACGGCCCGTCGGTGCGAAAGAGTTCCGAGACTGTCTGTTAGAGAAGAGTCATCGATCAGTCGGACCGCCCTCCTCTGGACAGCATCGAGCATGGACAATGTGGTCGGGGCGGCAGCACCCCAAATGTGTGAGCAATACTCGAGGCTAGGCCTTATCTGGGCCTTGTATAGAGTGAGAAGGTCATGCGGAGAAAAGTACTTCTTAGCCCTAAACAAATAGCCTAGCTTTTTCCCAGCAGCTGCAGCTATTGACGAGATGTGTTTGTGCCATATCAGGTCCTCGGTGATCTGGACTCCGACTAGCCGAAGTGAATGGCTCTTTGGTAGAACTCGGCCGTCCATCGAAACTGTATGAGCGCTAGGACGCTTTTTGTTCGTCAAAGTACAGTACTGTGTTTTGGAAGCATTGAACTGTACAAGATTGTTGCGTCCCCAAGCAGTGATAACCTCCAGGCCCCTTTTCAGAGAAGAAGTCGTCGCTAGTCTTCTTTTTTCCAGCTCAGCGGCAGAGATTGGCTTGTCACTCTGAATTCCTGCATGTAGAGTGCTGTTATCAGCGAAGCTGTGGATTGGGTTGATCGTGCAGGAAAGGAGGTCGTTGATATGTAAGAGAAACAGTGTTGGAGCCAAGACCGATCCCTGGGGAACACCCGCGTTGACGTTGTGGGATGAAGAGGAGAATCCGTCAATTACGACGGATATCTTGCGGCCAGAGATAAAGTCCCCATCTGCAAAGCCTTTCTGGGATGCCATAGGATGGAAGTTTGCTTAAGAGGGCAGCGTGCCACAGCTGATCGAACGCTTTCATGATGTCAAGAGCAACGACATGAGCCTCACGATGAGACTGGATGCGTTTACTCCACAATTGCGTGACGTAAGCTACGAGGTCCCCTGTGGATCGTTGGTGCCGGAAACCGTACTGCCTGTCGCTAATCAAGCTGTGACGTACGAGGTAGTCTAAAAACAGAAAGCAGAGCTATAGGCCTGTAGTTGTAAGGGTCGGTCTTAGATCCTTTTTTTGGGATGGGCTGGACATGAGCAAATTTCCAGTTTTCTGGGAAGGTGCCGGATTCATACCTGGAAGAGACGCGAAAGAACTGGAGCAAGCTCCGGTGCACACCTCTTCAGTACAATCTCAGGAATCAAGTCCGGACCAGAAGCTTTGTTGATGTCGAGCGACAAGAGCACTCGTCTTACGGTCTTATGCCTGAATGTTACCTCCCGCATAGTGTGGGGAACCATTTGAATTGACGGCACTTGGGCGTTGGTGGGGACGTCCATGGTGGAGTTGGCAGCAAAGATCTTGGCTAGCACTTCCGCCTTGGCCTTTGAGTCGAATACAATAGTTCCATCCTGACACGTAAGTGGTGGAAGGCTACTGTGTGAGAAGTTCTTTTCAATCTGCTTGGCCAGCGTCCAGAAAGACCGACTGCCATTGCGCTGCGACATTACCCTGTGCCTAACTTTTATATCGTGCTGGTTTTTGGCATTGCGAACCGCTTCGTTATATTTGTTTCTGGACTCGACGTCGGCTTGTTTGTTCTCTACAGTGGGTTTTTTTTAAGTAGGTTCTGTGTGCCTTGATCTTCTGCTGGCCTGGCGAGCAGTGTCACATGATTTGTTAAACCAGCCGTTGGACCCTGGTTTAGGAACTTTCACTGTGTGAGGGATGTATTCCTCCATTCCGACGTGGATAATTTCGGTTATCGAAGAACAGACAGTCGACGCATCCGCGTCAGTGAAACAGACATCTCTCCAAGGAAAGCTAGAGAAGAAGTCTCTGAGCCCCTCCCAGTCGGCATGTCCGTAATGCCAAGTTTTGCGGCCTGTACGAGTTTCTGCTGCCACATCGGCTTCTGATCGAAACATAACCTCCACAACACCGTGGTCTGAGTTACCCAGGGGGGACACGGCAGCAGTGCTGTGAGGGACAGGATGCATGGTCAGAAAGAGATCCAGCAGGCTACTGGCGTGTGACTAGATGCGGGGGAAAAAAGTAGGGCTCGTCACCAGCTGGGTCAGCCGTTGAGTAAGAGCGAACGCTTCGACTGCACGGCCTGCTGCATCGGTCTTATTTGAGCCCAACCAAAGCTCAATTTAACAGGTTAAGCACCACGGCGGACACCGTTGTCCGATTTGTGATCAGCCTCCTGGGCCACGGCGGACACCGGTGTCCGCTTGGCTTTCAAATTTTTATCATCTCCTCCCGGCCAGGCGGACACGCTTTTATGCGGTTTGGCGTAGTAACATGTCTGCCATAGCACTGCAACATAAAACGCTGACACCAGGTTTTATGTAGCAATGTTTTCCAGAGAAATCTGGTGACATTCTTATTGTAATATCAAATAAATATTTATATATTTATTTCACTTATTTATTTATCTATGGAGATAAAATAAACATTTAATAAACAAAGTATATTGAACAAAAAAGTTTTGCTAATATATATCTACATTTATTACGTAAAAATGTTAACGAGTTTTGTGAACTAAATTAAAACATTCCAGACAAAATCTAGGGTTATCTTCGCACTGTGCACAATAAATTATTACTTTTTTAACTTCAATCTCCCTGTAAATGAAATGGGCATTCACAATTGAGGTAAATAATAAAATTTAAATAGCAACTTACTTTCATAGTCGTTTTTTCTCTCCAGAGCTAATTGTAATATCCTCTTTGATCGTTTGATCGCCCATTCATTTTTATTTCAAAAAGTTTCATTTTACGCTCAAAACTTCAGGAAACGGTGCAACACATCACACTCGAAGTGATGAAAAACTATACTAAGTGACATATAAATCCGAACACCCAGTTTAAATGGTTTTATTTTAATAAAAGTTGGTGAATGTATTTATCTTACCGTAAATAACAAGTGAAAAAATTTTCAGCCTTATCAGTTGGACATTCCGGTTTTTATACTGCTTTTTTTAATTCACTTACGCTCTAAAAATGAATATTTCAGCCGCAGTAAAGAATCAACGTTGGCGGATTTTGGTTCTTGACATCCTTTACGATCGGTTACGATGCCTAGAGTACGGAGACCTGTACGATTTCGTCAACTTAGTGAGTTTAATAGGGGCCGTATAGCGGGACTTCGGGAAGCTGGACTTTCTTTTCGGGCAATTGCAGTTAGAGTGCAAAGAAGTGTAGACACTGTGGTTAGGTGTTGTCAGGCATGGCTTCGAGAAGGCCGTACGCAAAGAGTAAGGGGCACTGGACGCCGCCGTAGAACAACAGACCGTGAAGATCGCCGCCTAAGATTATTGGCCTTAAGGCACCGTTTCTCCACTACCAGGTCCATTGCAAATAAATGGTTTGCAGAACACGGAAGACCTATTGGCATGCGAAGTGTTTACCGACGATTGAGAAGTTTTGGCTTGTTTTCATACCCGCCACACTGGGTCCTCCCTTTAACTCGAGAACACCGACCTAATCGCCTTGAGTGGTGCAGACAACGGTCACTCTGGGATCAGGAATGGAACAGTATTGTCTTTAGTGACGAGTTTCGATTTTGTTTAGGCATGCACGATGGTCGTGCCAGGGTTAGAAGGCGACGTGGTGAAAGGAGGAATCCACAGTTTTTTGTTGAAAGACATGTTCATCACACTGTTGGAGTTATGGTTTGGGGTGCTATAGCTTATGGTTCCAGGTCACCTTTAATCTTCATCAGAGGTAACATGAACGCGCAGCGTTATATCCACGAAGTTCTATAACCCCATCTTTTACCCTATCTTGACACCCTGGCAGGTCCAACTTTCCAACAAG